TTTTCTTCTCTTTTTTTCCTATTTTTCTCTCCTGTTTTTTCTCCCCTCTTTTTTCTCCCCTTTTTTTTTCTCCCTTCCTTCCCCTTTTTTTCTCCTTTTTTTTTTCTCCCTTTTTTCCCCTTTTTTTCCTCCCTTTTCCTTCCCTTCTTTCCCCTCCCTTTTTTTTCCTTCCCTCTCTCCTCCCTTCCTTCCTCCCTTCTTTTTCCTTCCTCTCTCCTCTCCCTTCCTCTCCCTCCCTTCTCCCCTTCCCTTCCTTCCTCCCTCTCCTTTTCTCTCCCCTCCTTTCCCTCTCTTCTTCCCCCCTCTTCCCTTCTCTCTCCTCTTCCCCTTTCCTTTCCTTTTCTCCCTTCCCTTTTCTTTTCTTTTCTTCTCCTTCCCTTTTCCCCCTTCCCTTTTCCTTCCTTTCCCTTCCTCTTCTCTTTCTTCTTCCTCTTCTCTCCTTCCCTCCCCTTTTTTCCCCTTCCCTCCTTTTCCTTCCCCTCTCCTTTTCTTTTTTCCCTTCCCTTTTTTCCCCTTTTTTGTTTTTCCTCTCTCCCTTTCCCTCTTCTTTTCCCTTCCCCTTCCTCTTCCTTTCCTTTTCCTCCTTCCCTCCTCTCCTTTTTCCCCTCCCTCCTTTCTCCCTTCTCTCCTCTCCCCCTTCCCTTTTTTTCCTCCTCCCTCTCCCTTTTTCCCTCTTTTTTCCCTTTTTTTTCTTCCTCCCTTTTCCTCTTTTTTTCCCCTCTCTTTCTTTTCCCTTTCCTTTTCTCTCTCTCCCCTTTTTTCTTCCCCTCTTTCCTCCCCCCCCTTTTTCTTTCCTTTTTCTCTCCCTTCTTTTTTCTCTTCTCTTTCCCTCTCTTTCTTCCCTTTTTTTTCCTCCTCCTCTTTCCCCCTCTTTTTCTCTGCTTTTCTCCCCCTTCTTCTCCCCCTTTTTTTCTTTTCCTTTCCTTTTCCTCCTCCTCCTTCCCCCCTTTTTCCCCCTTTCTTTCCCTCCTTTTTTTCCCCCTTTTTTTTCTCCCCTTCCCCCCTCTTCCCTTTTCTCTCCTCTTCCCCTTTCCTTTCCTTTTTCCCCCTTCCTCTTTCCTTTCTTTCCCCTTCCCTTTTTCCTCTTCCCTCTTCTCCCTTTCCCTCTCCTTCCCTTTTCCCCTTCCCTCCTCTTTCCTTTCCCTTCTCTTCCCTTTTCCCCTTTCCCTCCTCTTTCCTTCCCCTTCCCCCTCCTTTTCCCTTTCCCCTCCCCTTCCTCTCTCTTCTTTTTCTCCCCCCCCTTTCTCTCCTCCCCTTCCTTCTCTCCCCTTTTTTTTTCTCCCCTTTTCCTCCTCCCTTTTTTTCTCTCCCTTTTTTTTTCTCCCCCCTTTTTTTTTCTTCTCCTCCCCTCTTCTCTTTCCTCCCCTTTCTCTTTTTTCTCCTCCCCTCTTTTTTCCTCTTTCTTTTTTCTTCTCCTCCCCCCTCCTTTTTTTCCCCTCCCCTCTCCTTTCTTTTTCTTCCCCTGCTCCCTTTCTCCTTCTCCTTTTTTTCTTCCCCCCTCTTTTCTTCCTCCTTTCTTTTCCCTCTCTCCTTTTCTCTTCTTTCCCCCCCTCCTTTTTTCCTTCCTTCTTTCCTCTTCCCCTCCTCTCTTCCCTCTTCTCCCTTTTCCTTTCCTTCCTCCTTCCTTCTCCCTTCCTTCTCCTTTCCTCTCCTTCCTTTTTCTTCCCCTCTCCTTCTCCTTCCTCCCCTTTTCCTTCTTTCTCTCCCCCTTCCTCCTCTTCCCCTTTCCTCTCCTTCTTTCTTCCCCTCTTCTCCTCCCCCTTTTCCTTCCTCTTTCTTTTTTCCTCCTCTCCTCTCCTTTTCCCCCCTTTTCCCTTCCCCTCTTCTCTTTTCCCCTCTTCCCTCCTTTTGTCTCCTCCCCTCTGCTTCTCTCCTTCCCTTTTCCTTTCCTTTCCTCCCCTCCCCTTTTTTTCTCTCTCTTTTTCGTCTCCCTTTTCTTTTCTCCCCTTTCTCTCCTTCTCTTTTTCTCTCCCTTTTCCCTTTTTTCTTCTTCCCCTTCCCTTTTTTCCCCCTCTCTTTTCTTCCCTTCCTTCCCCCCCCTTTTCTTCTCCTTCTCTCTCTTCTCCCTTCCCTTTCTTTCTCCTCCCTCCTCCCCTTTTTCCTCTCTCCCCTCCCCCTTTCTCTCTCCCTTCTCTCTTCCCCTCTCCCTCCCTTCCCTTCCTTCCCCTTCTTCCCTCTCCTCTCCTCTCCTCTCCTCTTCTTCCCCTCTTTCTCCTCCTCTCCTTCTCCTCCTTCCCTCCCTCTTCCCTCCTTCCCCTCCCTTTTCTTCCTTCTCTGTCCTTCTTCCTTCCTCTCCCCTTTCCTTCCTTTCTCAATTTCCCTCCAACATTTCCCCAACCTTTCCCCTCAATTTTTCCATATTTTTCCCCACTTTTTCCAAAACTTTTCACACTTCTTCCAATATCTTCCCAACCTTTACACCACTATTTTCCCACTATTTCCCCAACTTCTCCCCAACTTTTTCCAACTTTTCCAACATTTTCCCAACATTTCCCAACATTTCCACATTTCTCCCAACATTCCCAACATTTCCCAACATTTTCCCAACATTTTCCCAACATTTTCCCAACATTTCCCACATTTTCCCAACATAACCAAAACATGGTTTTGTTATATAAATAATTGACATCATAAAAAGCGTGGTCACCCATCTCAAACTCAAAAACTTGTCAAAATTGACCACAATTGTAAGGGGTAAGCCTTACCATTTTAGTCAAAATTGACGACGACCTTTTCAATGTTCCAAAAAGCAACCAAATATGCTCTAAAATGAAAGCTATTAGTCTTACGAAGCCGTTTTTTTTTAGCAGTTTAAGACATTTTTTGAACAGTTGAAAAATTCGTCAAAATAGACTTACTCCTTTTTTGTTGGGTTTCAACGAGAATTTGGTGTTCTCGTGTTTATTTTGGTAATGGTTCGAATGCTGGACAAATTTTTTTCAAAAGCCTCTTGAAAAAAAAGATTTAAGTAAGATAAAAAACACCACTTAGTATCGAAAGAGGCAAATAGTCGCAGGGTAACGACAATGGTGTATCAACTTGTAAGTTGGTGGTGGTTCGAATTTTGCATCGGGAAAAAAATGTTTTCGTCAAGACCTGAAAGAAAAGATTATTTTTTATTGGGTTTCGAGGGAGAATTTCGTGTTACTGTTGGAAAGTTTCGGTAATTAGCTGCTTGAAAAAAAGGGCTTAATTATGTCCAAGGCTTGATGAAAAATTAATTCAAAGTTCACAAGTATACATACGATGTAAGCACCTGGATGTTTTGTAGGTCCGCGTAATTTACTACATCTGCGACTTGTACGTACTCGTTATGGACGTTTGGGTACGTTCGCTATATATCACTATCCGCCAAAACGAAATTTTCCATTTTTCACTTTGCTTTTTTTTGAACAAATCTAAATGCTATTGCAAATGCCAAATGATCAAACGCAAATAGAATAGCAAAAAACGCCACGCAGTCCCAGTGAACTAATATGGTCATGGTTAAGATTTCAGTGCCCATGTGGAACACTCCCACAATCAACACACTGAGCTATGTCACATATATACTAGACATTTTTAATGAGATGTTGTGGCGTTGTGTGGTCTTCTCTTCTGAGGATTTTCGGTTGTCATCTTTCCTTTCTTGACCCTTCTTTTTTGTGGTCACTTCTGGCAGACGGTCATGAAATTTTGGGCTCTGCGATTTCAAAAAATATCAGCCAAAATTCTTCTGTGTGATTTGGCTGAACATTTAATACAACTAGTAGAAAATGATGTAGAAAATATTACCGATGTTTCTACAATCGAAAATTACGATCCAGTTACGACGAATGTAGAAGGTCTTGATCAAATGAACTTTGAGAGTCATGAACAAACTTTGGCGGTCAAGATGCGACAGCGAGGCAAAAGGAGTGTGAACCTTGATCCGAATATAGTCGATTTAGAGCAAGGTGTTGTTAAGAAAAGAAGGAGAAAATGTGGTAGCTGCGATTCGTGCCTGAGGAAAATAAATTGTGGCGAGTGTAATTGTTGTTTGAATAGAAAGACAAGTCATCAGATATGTAAGCTTCGAAAATGCTCTAAGCTCAAAATGAAATCAAGCTGTATGGAGAACGAGTCGGGTACCGTCGCCTTTCAACACCCCGCACAGCAAGCAATTCTAATAGATAGTTCAAATATCGAGAAATTAGGACATGCGAAAATAAATCCTGAGAAAGCAAAGGGGAAACTGCAGTAACGCCTCTGCAACGGTAAAGCTGCAGAAATTTGCATGGACACGGAGAATGCGCTTTACAAATCCCCTCTGGGACTGATGGAATCGGAACAAAGCCATACAACGGAAATTAGCACAGAGCACAATAATGTTCGCATTCCAAATCGTTCCCCTGTGACACCACTGGAACCAAAATATAATGACACAGGAAATGCAAATAATAAGCCAAATCTACCTGAATTGGATGTTATGGTGTCTGAAATCAAAGAAAAAATGTGGGTTCTATTAGTCAACAAAGTTTATGCGATCAGATTTGTAAAATCTATGACGAAATCGTCCATTTTAGAAGGAACATTTTTAATATACCCTCCGGCAGAGCGGGAAAAGATTTCATTGCAGACTTTACTTATTGGCTAAAGCAATTCAATTCCAATTCTGATCTCAATTCGATTGCATTGAAAGCCTTTATGGTGCTTCCATCTTTGATTCTCCAAAAGCCCTCGGCAACATCAAAGAGCAAAGAACACAGCACAGCGATAAAACGAAGATTAACCCTATGGAAGCAAGGGGACTTGAATCTACTAATGAAAGAAGTGAGATTTATACAAGATCGATTCTTATCATCAAAAACCCCGCACAGTAAATGATATCTCCAGAGTTTCCGCCAGATTGTAATGCAAGGAAAACTATCCGCGGCGATTAAATTTCTGGATAAAGAAAGCTCCCCGTGTTTACTAGATCTTTCGCCGGAAACTTTGGAAGCTTTGAAAGAGAAACACCCGGCAGCCCGTGATGTAGAGGACGAATGCCTCCTAAATGGTCCCGTAGATCGAATCGCGTCCAATATTTTCGACCTCATCAATGAACAGATGATTTATGACGCAGCTAAGGGCTCAGCTGGACCGTCTGGTATGGACGCAGACATATACCGACGAATTTTATGCTCAAAGAATTTCAGTAACGAAGGTAAGATCTTAAGAGAAGAAATATCAACGATGACCAAAAATCTGTTGAAATTATGCTACCATCCATCCTTGTTAAAAAGCTACACATCCTGTAGTCTAATTCCACTAGATAAACATCCTGGAATTCGACCAATTGGAGTGGGAGAAGTGCTGCGAAGAATAATCGGTAAGACAGTAACTTTATTCTTGAGAGCATAGATAAGGGAAGCAGCGGGGCCATTGCAAGTTTGTGCAGGATACAGTGCTGGGGCCGAGGCAGCAATACATGCCATGAACCATGTTTTTGAGAAAGAAGGGACTGATGGAATCCTATTAATTGATGCGACCAATGCTTTTAACCAAATGAATACAGCGGTAACATTGCACAATCTTTGAATAACCTGCAACAGAATGTCCATATACATCATTAACACCTACAGATGCCCCTCCAGGCTATTCATATCTGGGGGAGGTGAGATTTTGTCGCAAGAAGGTACCACCCAAGGGGATCCTCTAGCTATGTCCTGGTACTCAATTAACACAGCTATAATGATTCAAAGTTTAAAATTGAACATACCAGAAATCAAACAAGTATGGCTGGTTGATGACTCAGCGGGAGGAGGAAGATTGGCACATTTATATAATTGGTATAAGCATTTGGAAGAGCAAGGAAAGAAATACGGCTATCTAGTAAATGGTCCAAAGTGTTGGCTGATAGTGAAGACGCAAGAACTGGCCAAAGAAGCAGAGCAGATCTCTGGAGAAGAAGTTAAAATTACAACAGAAGGAAAACGCTATTTGGGTGCTGTTATAGGATCAAAAGAATATAAAGATGAGTATTGTAAAGAAAAAATTCAAGGATGGGTACAAGATATCTCATCACTGACGGAAATCGCGAAAAGCCAGCCTCATGCAGCCAACATTGCCCTTACGAAAGCATACAAATCAAAACTTACCTACTTCATGCGAACAATTGAGGCCTTCGAAGAGTACGTAGAATCGATACATGAAACATTGAATAACATTCTCTTACCACAATTTTTTGGTCAAGAAGAACCCCTTGCGAGTGAACTTCGTGAACTTGTGACCCTAACGTTAGCTCAAGGGGGATTAGGCGTACCGAATTTGAGAATAGAAGCTCCTTTGCAATATGCAGCCTCAAAATTTTTTACTAATCAACATGTAAATTCAATTAAACGGCAGAGTGAGGCTCTGGAACCGACAGAGCAGTCTATAGATGATCTGAAGCGAATGCAGCAAGCAAACAAAGCGGAAATTATTCAGTCAAGAATGGATAACATTGATGCAACACTTTTTCCAGACCTACTGTTCTTGGTAAAGCAATCCCAAGACAAAGGAGCGAGTTCCTGGCTAAATGCGATTCCACTCAAAGATCAAGGTCTAGCCCTCAATCAGCAAGAATTCAGAGACTCGTTACAAATGAGATACAATTTAACTTTGAACGATTTACCTAGTCATTGTGCGTGTGGAGATCGCTTTAACATCAATCATGCCCTTTCTTGTAAAAAAGGTGGGTTCGTGGCACAAAGGCACGATGGAATCCGTAATTTGCTAACAGCGCAACTGGATAAAGTGTGTAAGAATGTGGAAATTGAGCCTCATCTTCAACCCCTTGATAATGAGAGATTTGACTTGAGATCGGCCAATATAAGTCCCGAAGCGAGATTGGACATCAAGGCGGACGGTTTCTGGCTACGTGGAGCTACTGCATTTTTTGACGTAAGAGTAACGCATGTAAACTCCCGATGTAACCAAGGCCGGCCAACCCAGAACATTTTTAAGGAACACGAGAACGAAAAGAAGAGAAAATACCAACAGAGAGTTTTAGATGTTGAAATGGGCTCCTTTACCCCACTTGTTCTTGGAACCAATGGTGGAATGGGGTCTGAATGCCACAAGTTTCTTACTCAGCTGGCGCAGAAATTAGCAGCAAGAGACCATGAACGTTATGCAGTTTTCATAGCTTGGTTGAGAACCAGAATCTCTTTCGAAATTCTAAGATCGGTACATGCGAGTGTAAGGGGATCTAGATCACCTTTCTATAGAAAAGAACTTGAAGTGGTAGACGATTTTGGACTAAATGTTAAGATTGCAGAGGTTTTTTAAAGTTTCTTAACTTTAACTTTACGTGCGAAGTACTCCTTTTCTATAAAAATTAGGAAGAACAACAATCATTATGACATTCGAAGAGTTTAAACAGCCCATTGGAAAATGCATGGTGATTAGAATAGTTAATTTTGATCTAGTTTTATTTAAATTCTTTTAAATAAGTATATAGTTAATTTGAATAAATAGAATTATGTGACTGTCTTCTCTCGGTGCTGCCTATGGCGGTAT